GTTGGCAAAAACAGCAGGTCTGTAAGAAAATTAATGCAAAAGAAAGGATGGCAAAAAGGCAAACTATTTTGGTCAGGTTAATTTGTAGGAGTGGAAGGATAACAACTCCCTAAACTGTTGTCAAGTCTTTCCACATTTTGCCTAAAAAGAGAGTCTTTTGTACTCAAGTCCTAATTCTGCAAAAGTCCTTGAACTGGTGAGGGGCTCTGTGAACTTGAATTAGATGAGTTTCACACTTGATGATAGTCACACACTTAAGTCCAGTTAAGTGAAAAGAAAAAAAAAGTGGCTTAGGTACAAATGTTTTTATTACATTAATCTTGTCATTACTGACATGCACAGGAGTCACTAATAAAGTGCCTGGTGACACCTTTACTGTACAAAGCACCTTCTCGTGCAATGCATGATTTTATTATCAGCTATACCTAGAATCACAGAAAACACTTGCATGATCAGCACTTTTGTATTTCTGAGTGGAAGACTGGCTATGCCATATTTTTTTTTAAACCTGGTGAGAACTTGATGACAGGGATAAAAAGACTGTAGGCAATGAAAGCTAGAAGCAGTGCTTTTTCAGGAGCTGGTATAGCTGAATAGGAGATTTAGATGCAACTTCAGCAATCACAGTTTTACTATCTTATCAAACTTGAAGGAAATATTCTTATTTCCTGGTAACTTGTGTATCACTGGGAAAATAGTTTTTTGTTTTGATTTGTTTGTCACATCCTGGAAATTCTTTGATTCTGAAATTATCCAAGGTCTTCTTTAGGAGAAATATTAACCAAAATATTTTGGAAGCAGCGGGTAATCTAGCTTTGTGCACAAACATTCACTTTCTTGTGCTTTTTCTAAACCTTCTTCTCTAATCCACTTCTCACTCCAAGTTCTCAGCAGATAAATATCATTAGCTTGATGTTCATCAATCAAGGTTCCTCAGCACATGTTCTTGACCATAGAGTCAGCTGTGTTAGTGTCTCTGCTGGTGGGTGCAGAGATCTGTGTCTGCTTTGTGTCTGTTTGCAGATTCACCAAAGTTTGCTGATGATTGTATACACTTAACTTCATTGTGTATATGCTTTAAATTCATTGTGCAAAGGCTCCTTCTCTCAGCTGACCTCTTGCTGTGTTCATAGGAAGTAAGATACGGCTGTCATGAAATAGTGGTTGGCAAAGCCTGCTAACCTGCACGGAGAGATGTGCATCATGAAATTCAAATTCCAGATAAGCATTATTATTATTACTATTATTCACTCCAAGTATCTCATAGCTGTTTGTGAAAAAGCCAGTATGATCAGCATGTTAGGGTCTACAGAAGACCTTCATTCCCACTGAAATTCTAAGAAGAAGACCCTGAAAAACAGTTTTCATTCGTGCTTTGGAACTAACTGAATGCAATGGCTTTATAATATTGCATAACTAAAGAAAGATAATTCTCTGAATGCAATGCAAAGGAAGTCAAAGCCCAATAGCCAAAGAGGTTTTTTTTAACGAGGGACCAAGTAAGAGTTTTTGATCACCAGATCAGAATGATCATGAAAGAGAATGTAAAATAAGTAGATTGAAGAACACAACCATAAATGTTTTTGTGATTTAGATAAATTGTTTAAAAAACCATGAGTAAAAATTGAGCTTGATGGGTTGATTTTTAGTCAGTCTAGAGGTATCATGATGAGAAAATACGTTGTTCTGAGAACACTTAGAAAATAAATACATGCAATTTTTAGTCTGGAAATATAAAGAACGATCCTCCATATGTTAATAGCTGCAAAACTGTTCTTTAGGAAACAGGACAAAGCACAGATTAAGCAAGAGAGAAATAAGTACATTAACGTGTAAAATAAATGGGATTTCATTCTGAAAGAAACAGTTCTGAGAACAGTAGAAATTACACCTGTTTCTACTTTGGCTTTGTGTCTTGTGGTTGAATTCACGTGGGTATTAGACACATAAATCAGCATATCTGTAATAACCTTTGCCTGCCAGTTTAGTAGTTGCTGCAGCTATTGCTTCCGTTTATAGTCTTTCTATTGTTAAGTAGGCAAACCATCGGAAAGAAATGGAGAATGGGAAAATTATTTTGTTAAGGTTTGTCAGAACACTCACTAGGACTGTAAGATCCATGTCAGGACAGGGATGGAGGAAGGAGCCTGCACAAGCCATGTTCCCCAAACATACAGTCCAAGCCTTTTGTGACTTTAGTCATAAAAACAGGATGGGTAGCACATCCTATGCAATGCCATCCTCTCCAATGCCATCCTCTCCTCTCCTCTCAATTGTGAAATATATAGTAAACCTTATTATTTCTTTGAAAGTCTTTGCTTTCATTGGTATTATGCAAAAGTCATAATTGCTTCACTGAGCTACCATCATACTGTCATGACAATAACACAACTGCCATTAACTACTGACATTTTATGCATAGTCTTACTCCCCTGTACAATTCAGGTTTCTTTTCTGTTGATTCAAAGTAAGCCAATTGCAGGACTGACATGGTCTTCAAAGACAGCTCCGTCAGTCTCCAACTACAACAACAATAACATCTTCAAATTAGACTGAAGTTTTGTTTTGAAAATGGCTTTTACAGTGAAGGCATCTCTCCTCCCTGTACTGCACTGCTTGCATGTTTATGACAACCTGACTGTAATTGCAGCTGTGAAATAATTTAGGTTTAAAAGCTATTAGTCCCAGATGTACAACTGAATTCTAGTCTTCATTAGTGAAAACACAGCAGAGTGAAGAAAAGCAGACAAGGTCGAGGCTGTCCAAGGAGCAGTGGGAGGAAAAGGTGATTATCCGGGCAAAAGCCCACAGGTACATTTGAGCTGTCTTTGACTGGGGAAAAGCTGCATCTTTAAGGAATGCTGCTGTCCTTTTAGAGGCATTGTGTGAAGGCAAATGCCACAGAGATTTATGTGGTTCATTCTCTGACCTGTGATAATGCATCATTAGAGCCCTCCGTGTTTTCCACCTTTGTGAACAAAGACTCATAACCAGGGCGATTATGAAAAAAGAAGAGGAGAAGCTGCACAGTGGCAGCAGGGGGAGTGTGGCTCAGGCACACAGAACTTCACCCAAAAGTTGAACAAAGGTATCTTTTTTTTCACATTGTACCTTCACTTTATTTTAAGGACTCCATCCTTCCCTGCTCCTCTGTCCAAAACTCCTTGATAGAATTAGAGCATAATAGAAAGCCAAAACACCCTGTTAGCCTCATTTAACCCCTTGCTTTTTTGGTGAACATTATAATAAATGTAGAGGTATAAGAAGTAATAGGGAAAGCTGAGGTCACACATGATCCCTGGTGAGAGTAAGACTAGGTCCTCTGAAGTGAAATGATAGCGGTGAAAACTATTTCATGGTCCTGTGTACCTTCGCTTTTATCCTGACCCCAGGCAATCTTTTTATTTAGCTTGCTGAAATGCAGGGTTGCTGCTCTAGCTGACTGACTGGGGAATAAGTTTATATCTATTTAACCAAACCGGACTAGCATCCCCTCTTCTCTAGCCATGGATGGATATGGATTCAAGCAGTTGTAATGTTTTTTTGAGAACATTACCGAGACATTTTAATCACGGCTTACTGCACTGGTAGATTAGTACCCAAATGCAATGACCTTCTTTTTGCTGTGGACACGAACATGCCAGAAAACCAAACTGTACTATTCTTTGTCTTGATCCAATAAATTAGGATTAAATAAACAAGAGAGACAAGTGTGATGTACTTTGAAAATCTGAGTGCACCTGTTTTGTAGTGGAAAATTGGATGTTCTCTTTTTTTATCTCCCTGAAGAATGTTCCTGCCTCTATTTGTGTCTTAGGGGATGACATTATGACCAGAATTTTTGCATGGCTTCCTACATATTTTGCACTTAGAGATTATTAAGGAGCAAAACAACAAAGAAAAGTTGGTGTGTGTGTGTGTTAGGAGGTATTAGAATACATTAGTCTGACTGTCTGTATCCCCCACTGCACTGAGGTCTGATTCCACAAAATGTGCGTGAGGAAGTGTGTTATGGGGAGGCAGAAGCATGGAGGAAAGAGATACTTGAAAGCTTTGTAACCACGTTTAAATGCAACTAGTACCCTGAAGCACTAGGACCAATTACTCCATTCCTTTGCATCATTATTTTGGTACAGCCATTGATCAAAAGTAAGCATCAGACACTTCCACATCAAGATCCCTATAATCTGTACCCACTTTGTATTAGTCTATGTGTATATGCAGAAAGAAAGAAGGTCTGATCCTGAAGTGAATATCGGGTTCCTGATGCCAAGAATGCTTCAGAATACTCAGCCCAGGCTTTTTCAATTTTACTTCCTTGGGCATACAGAATGTGATATGTTTTACACCACGGTGGAAGTTATGGCAACATGTATCATCAGATAGAAAAGTGGGCATGACCCTAGGCAGCTCTGCCTTCTTCCATGTCTTTGAAATGGTCAGAGCAGCATCCAGCTCTGTAGAGAGTGAAAGTAGATCTGTTGTCCTTCTCTGCAGGGAAAAGGTGGTGAGTTGGATTTATTTTGTCACTTTGAACTCGTAAGTAGCTGGTGTACCATCAGCAGTACTGTATAACAAACCAAGAATCTCTATTATCTAACATGTCAACACCCAAACAGGAGCAGCAACATGCTTTCTTTCTATATTTAGTGGAGTCTCTTTCTACATGTGCAAGAAAACGGCATCAGAGGCAGTGGCATGTTCTGCATATGTTCACAATCAGAATAGGGACTTCTGTTTAAATAGGGACCATTGTGATCCAAAAATAAATAGCTTTGCATGGTAAGCAAATGAGGAAGCCTCTATCTCTTTGAGCTTTTAGTGCTTGGTAGGCTAACCTTACCTGCTTGTTAGTCTTTGCATGCTTCTCATGTTATGAAAAATAAATAATTCAAAACAAACAGGAAAATAACCAAGCAACATAAAAAGGTGGCTGTCTGATTTTGGTGGGGCATAACAGATGTTTTGCTTAAGCACAGTTGTATAGTACTTGCATATCAAAGAAAGTGTTTTATTTCTCTTATGTCCTGAAAGGCATGTAGTAAAAATAATTTTATCACTACCAGGTGTCTTCCTCAGGTGGTCAGGTAAAAAAATGAAAATAATTTTACAATGGCTATAAACCATTTTACAATATCTTAATAATGCATGGTTAAAATTGAGGTAGTACAGAAGTTTTTGATGCACAAGAGCAGTGCAAGGCAAAAAAAACTGCATTTTGTGCAGTTTTGATCTATGTGTGAAATTACATAAAAGAAGGTCTGCAGATAGAAAGCTGTAGTTGCCGCGAACTGTATATATTTTTATACGGTGCCTTTTGTGAAATGGCAGCTGTAATTCCAGCACTTCACTCATTAGATCCTTGACTCAGCTAAGTGCTTAAGCATCGGGCTAAGTTTAAGTCCCACTGAGAAAACTCGCTTGTGTAAATTCAGTCATAGTTAAGTCTGTGGTTCAGTTGAGGTCTGCTCCAGTGAAATCTCTGATACCCCTGGCATGTGGATGTCTGCTTATGCTCTGCTATGCAGTCAGGTGTTTCTGGGGAGAAGGTGCAACTGGTCACTGAGGTTTTAGGCATCTTGTCATGCAGCACCCTACTTTAAAAACATTACATGCTGTGGCACTAAGTATACTGGGGGTGCATGAAACTAGTGCTCTCCTTGCTTTTTATCTTCCACTGGTGGGCTTGCTGTGCAGGTAGCCTTTACGGAAAATATCCTTGCAGAGATGCTAGGCAAAGATGAAGAATTATTGGGAAAGTAGGTGTTTTTCAGTAAGTTGAAAAACCTGCTGTCCTGTGTTGCCAGTAAAGGTTCAAGATCGTTCAAGCCTTAGATGAACCTTCCTAAAGTTCTAAGTGATTTACAGTACATTCCCATTTCTGTTGAGCACTTCTCAATTCCTAAAACTTCGACAGATGGTCACTTCTCTCCCCAAATGTCTATCTTCAGACAGTAAGCAGTTTCAGCAGAGGATGGCAAATAAATGCTAAATACTACATTTCACTAGAAATTAAATATTTAGTAACCTGTGGGGTCCTTGAGCTTCACAGATAGCAAAAGTGATAATAAAAATATTTATAAGTATTATTAATAAAGTGGGATTATTAATAAATAATATAAACATGCTTTCTTAAAGTGCATTTCAGCTGCATACCTAGCAGCCATCTGCAGGTACAGCATTCCCTCTTATTTTATAAATCTGAAACCTGAAGTGAGATTGCAGCCTTGCAATAACTTTTACTGATATGTTTCTAAATAGAATTATATTACAGCAATGAAACCAAAGAAAGACACTTATGGACAGACCTCTTATTGGAGGATATTGCAAGGGGGGATGAAAAAAAGCAAGATTTTCTCAGAAACAGAAGTAGAAGAGATGTCTGTCCTGAGTTTTACACTCAGTAGGTGCATCCTCTTGTAGCAATACCCTAAGAGTCCTGTTGTTACTAAAAGGGCCAGTCAGATATAGAGGAGCATGGGTATTGCTGTGGTGCAAACATCCAGGGATGTGTGGCCCACCTGCGGTTGTTCCTAGCAAAGAACTTGGATCACAGGGGTTTCTATGAAAAATCCGTTATCATGAACACTATTCGTGCTTTCAACCCAGTTTCTGGTTTTGGTCATTGTTTCTTTGAATACAAAGAGGACCTAAGTGTTCTTTGGGCACCCACCTTTCCTCCTCCCTGCTCCCCATTTTTTTTCTTCTTATTTAACCTTTCCTTATTACTGCATTACTTCTTTATGCAGCACACCAGTAAAATGCCAGAAACAAAATAATACAGGAAAAAAAAATGCAAGCACCATAATGTGCTAGTCATATAGTTGATGTGTGGAAAGGAGAAATGAAGCTTTTCATTTGGCAGCTTCAGCAGCATGCAGCCATTTCAGGAAGAAGTTTAATGATATATGTAGGAAAAGTATGTGGAATGTTACCTGTAGAAGTAAATTTAAAAGTCAGTAAGTTAAAGAGTAAGGAAAGATGGAGTAGATGGAGACAAGGTGGAGGAGAGCAGATCACTGAGTATAGTGATCATTGTGTGGGGAGGACAAAAGGTATAGATTCAGGAGGGCTTGCATCACATGGTAGTAGCCAGTTACTGTGTTTGTAGCTGTCAAACTAAAAAATTGCTACTTTATATAGATTATGTAGATGCTTACTGATCAAAAACTATAACCCTTTAGGTAAGGCAGCTTTAACATGTACACTGATCTCAAAACACTCACCATTCAAGCAACATCAAGCCCGAACGACTCATCAGTGCTAAACAGACCCTGCTCCCTCTTCACCATTGACAGCTCTCAGAAAGAACATAGCTTCACCCTTCAGGGTAACTCACTTGCACAGGGCTGGTATGGTCTCACTGGAAATAATAGGCAATGTAACAGCCATAAGGAAAGGGGATTCATTCTAGGAGATCTTACAGAGCCATGAGATCATAGAATCACAGAATTATAGAATAGTCAGGGTTGGAAAGGACCTTAAGATGATCTAGTTCCAAACCCCCTGCCATGGGTGGGGACACCTCCCAGTAATCCGTGCCCTGTTCATCACAAATGAGTAAGGTCTGCTTTTCAGGTAGCATAAGCCATCTTTCTCCATTCTTTTTCCCATTTCTTCTTTTGCTGTGAGAGCTTCTTAAAACTGAAGTACCCTCACTCAGAAATTACTGACTTACTAAGGTTCTGATGAACAGCAGAATCACAGACAGATTCCTTTCCCTGCCTTGATCAACTCACACCACTGCTAACTGACTGTCCAATACAACAGCAATACAAAAGTATTGCTTTTCTATTACAGACCTCCAGCTCCAAGATCACACTCAGGGTTCCTGTATACCTGACTGGCCCTTTTTTGTAACAACAGGAGGTGTGATGCACAGTGTCAAGAGTAAATTATACTCACCCCTATAGAATTGCACTTGTTGATCCCGCAGATAGTGTGTGCACGAGTGAACCCTGGTGTTTTCCAAAAGCTGGTGCTGATGTGTCCACACTTCAGAGCTTTTCAGTGTAAAAATTGCTTGGAGAATGAGGAAAGGATCTTTACCTGTTTACTTCATTAAGTAAAAAAGAAGTGTAACAAGTGTTTTAAAAAATTTATGACTAGGTTGCAAGATATTGTCCCATCCTTTTGAGTCATAAATATCTACTCCTCACGTACGGAGGTCAAATGAGTTTTCTGATGTCGTACACTAGAATGATAGTGGATCCAGGGATCTGGATTCTCTGTTCCAATGACAGCAAAACTTCCTCCTTGTGCGTGCTTTCCAGCCTTGCAGAAGAGGAATATATCTTTAAACTTCTGTAAATGGTGTGAAATCAATCTCATTGATCACACACTTCTAGAATTAAAAATCATATCTATATAGTCAGAATTTAGAAAATAATGCTCCAAGAATTCCTCGTGTAAATCGTGACATTTAACCAATCTTACCCTTGTCTTGCCACTTGAATCATTTATTTAAGCGGTGATAATAAAAGGTGTCAGCAATTCAGTTGTAAGCTCTTGAAGATTTCTGTGCGCATTGACCTTTAAGTGTTTGCATCTTGACAGGTGAGCCATTCTTAACGTCTCCTATGAGATATGGTGGGGGCAAGGGGTCAGGCACGCTAATGATAAAATTACCATTTACCTTTTACCTCACCAGTCTCAGTGCCTGACATTATAAATGTAGGTAACCTTTCACCTGAAGGCTCTCTTTCTTCTACACTGCTAGGGATTATGGAGAAACGAATGTGCTTGCAGCTGCAGAAGAGGCATCAGTCATGAAAAAAAGGTGCTTTCCATGATTCTTTCCCTTTAATTTTTATTTTTGCTATTTTAAACCAAAGCCATATTTTTAGAAAAAGTATAGAGGTCTACCCTGTTTTATGTTAACAAAGAGATGGTTACCTCTATATTTCTATTCTAGCATGCTATTTCTACTCAAGACTATTCTGTTCTTTCTTATTAAGATAAAAGCACTATTAGTTAATTGATTAATGCCCCTAGTACCTCATCAGTCAATGAAGTTTCCTTTAGGGATAAGTGACCACATTAATGTGACTGTATTGATGATCTTCATTATTTGCCATAGCCCAATAGCGTCAACTTGTTCATATTTGCATCCTGATCCAAGCTCTCCTGAGCTTCAACAATTTTCAGACTTGAGTCAGGATCCCCTTCTGATGCAACATGATTTGTCAGTGGTAATGGCTACACAGTAAGAACTCTGAAGGCAGCAATAGGAGTCTGAAGACTATCTAAGGACCGCTGATCTTCTACCCACCTATTGTGGACCTGGTTGCTCAGAAGCAAGCGCTTACACAATCTGATATACTATGAAAACTTAAAGAACAAAAATGAGGAGCATGTACTTTTCCACACAAAAACATTCAATATTTCTAAAAGCCATGGACATTGTGGATAGAAAAAGTATCATGCCTAGGAGAAATGTTAAAGATTGTGCTAGGTGCAGGGCCTGTATTTGGCTGATTTATGGGCAGGTGGTTCATATCCTGATTTGAAATATGCATTCTTCTTGTCGGAGTTAGAGCATATGAGGGTGGAAAACATCTGAAAAGACAGACACAGAAAATGGGATTCAGTTCATTTCACTGATCAAGAGCCAAATGATCACAAGCTTTAGCAGAATTACCTCCCACAAAGAACAGCCCCTTTCTGATAAATGTAGTCATGCAACCACTAGGACATAAATCGTGCAAATTGAAGGCTATAGTTCAAATATAAATCTTTATATTCAGTTTAGTGAAATTTGGTATTGTGTGAACATTATTCATATCTATGAATCTTCAGGCATGAATCTTGTTTCATTTTATTCATGTAATAAGGATATACATTTTGCAAATTTTCATTCAATGGATATGGAGCTTAATGAAATTGTACTCTGGGAAGTCTATAAAAATAGTTTCATTTTTTTCATATCTGAAAACCTGATAGACCTATTTCTAGTTTTATCTGTTCATATACAGATAAAGAGTATGAACACAGAGTTCAAGCATCTAATAAATGAAAGGCACAACTTCATTACCGTATTAAGCTGGCAGAGTAAGGAAAAGGCTTGGTTTGTACCACATTGAGAGGTTACAATACTGAAAAAAACCCAACCCTAAACCCAGAAGAAATATTGTCTCTTCAAGAAAAATATATAGCTCTTTTCTCACTTCAGCTTGCATTGCTTCTACATTAAGGGAGTTTGTGAAGTATTGAAGCAGGACAGAAAGCACAGGAAAAGCCTTCATCTGGGAAGATTGTGTTCAAATCAAACGTGTTGAAAGGACACAGGCAGGGATGTCATTCAGGCTGGATAGCCTGGCAGAGTTATTTCCAGGCTTATCAGATCATGTTCCACTTGTCTGAATACTCTTGTTTTACTTCTGTGCATCAACACAAACTCAGCCCCCAGCACCAAAACCAGATTCATTTCCACAGCACAAAGGGCTTACCTGTGCTTTTCGGCAGGTTTTCCTCCTACCTCTACCCATCTTTCTCCTGGAATGGATTGCTGATCCTACATTAAATTCTGCATTTACTGTGGCATAACTATTTTCTAGTTATGCCTCAGACCACAGAGGTGCAGTCTCATACGGATATATAATACCTTTCGGAACAGTATGAGATACTGCAGAGACACTGCACCACCAATGTAATGCAGGTTGCTGGCAACATTTATAAATGGATGTTACAGTTTATGACATATTCCCATCCACTGTTCCACTTTCCTGGGACCGGGACTAATATTTCATGCTTCTGCAAAGTTTCAAGTACACAGTATCAAATCTGTGGAGGAGAAAAAAGAATCCTGCAAGTAAAATATTTCTTTCCCCTCCTCCAGACTGCAACATGCTGAAGGATTAGTACAGGCCAGGCTCATTCAGTTTGGCGACCAGTTTCTCATTCTGAGTTTGGAAAGAGGAGTACTGTGACCACTTGAAGGACAGATTCCTACATTGACAGAGAACAAATATTTAACTGTCATAAATCCTGCAGTGTTTCTCGCGTGGACTAACATGATCCTTGCAATATCATGCTGGTAAAATCCCCCAAATGCTGGATTATGCTTTGTCTCATCCCCTTTGTGTTCATTGAATATATATGATGCTAGCTAGCTTGAAGGAATCTTTCTTTTGATTTCCCAAGGGACATCCACTGAAGGTTTGATCCTGCAATAAACTGAATATCCTGAACATTTAAGGAAGCCAGAGGAATTTGAAACCGTAAAGCTATCCCCCGTCTAAAGACATGAAGAGACGTGTATCAGCAACTAAGTCTTCCTGGAGTCCTGGAGGAAACTCTTTCCAGATACACCACATTCCTGAATCTGCAAGGAAGATCTGGTTTCATGGCAAGGACCAGGCAGACCAGAAGACCTTCTATGTTATCACCGGCTACACAGCTCACACCTGTTAAGTTCAATGGGAAACGTATTCTGCAGGTTAACTAGAAAACTAAGATAATAAGACACGTTTAAAATACAGATGTATGCACTTCAGAACATGTTTATTGATTCTTGAAGCTTACAAAACAACATTAATCATGCAAAAAGGTAAAAATGTGACAAGCCAGTGCAGGAATGGAAGAGAAGGGAACTGACTTGTTCACAGAAAGGTTTGTGTCAACACATTTCTGAAAATTAATCAATAGTCAAACAACTGTAGTGATGGACTGAGCATTCCAGCAGGGAGTACAGGATGTAATATTTATTTTTTTAATAGTTTATGAAAAATATATTTTGATAACGTAAAGAGTAAGTGGATATGTTTTTGTACTTTAAAAAGGCATTCTAGCTTTCCAGTGAAAATAAAAATTTTAGCAGCGCTTATGGGAAACCTAACTTACAGTTTAGCAACACTTTGAAATAAATTCAGTTTGGAAAAAAAATAAAATATTTAAATAGTTCATCCCCAGTATTCAGGGCTTGCTCTATTCAGGGAAAGACTGGAATTGACTTCAGAGAAGAACTTCAGAGCACTCTGGATCCAGCCTTTATACATGAAGCTATTTAATGACCTTTACCTCTTACTATGCTTTATACACTGCCAAGTGCATGGAAACTGCTTACAATCAATATATGGATTTTGCTTTCTATAAGTATCTGTAGCAGGAAAGATTTGTTCAAATACAAAAAGGCATGTTTCGTGTGTTTGCTTCCCAGATTCCTCACAATGGGCAAGACTTAACAAGGGGATATGTTAAATTTCTTGCTTTCAGAATGTTATGCTGTATAAATGTTTCTCAAATGCAAAATAATTGAATGTGTGTGTGCACATACATACATATATGTAAATAGGTATGCAGGTATTAATGTACATTTTAGAAGCACATGAAAGTGCATTCTTAGCAGCAACACAAGAATCAGTGCATATTACATTTAAATCCAGCATGTATTTTCCAAGTTAAGATCAACACTTGGGAAACAAAGTCTCTGTGCAGGGCTGGAAATCCTCTAGGGAAAAAGACAGGAGAGTTGATACTTAAGATGTTCATTCACTGCTTCTTCCTGCTCTGGAAGTTCTGAATGGGAAACTCAAGGGCAGTATCGCCGAAGGCCTGGCCCAAGAATGCTTCCACCTGTCAGGAAATATGGTGGGTAAAGCCTTTGAACTCCGTGCAGACCTTTTGCCTTCCTGAAACTGCTGTAAGAAAGATATGGAGAGCCTGAGATGGCTGTGACATCTGTGGGCAGGGTTCTTTTTACTAGATAAGTGAAAATATCTGATGAGAAAACCTGGAAAAGAGCTGAAATCCCAGAGGTTTTAAATCTCCATGGTTATCTTCTCACGTGTTTCTACTGAAGAATGTAGTGTGAGCCAGGGCTATCTGTGAGGACATAACGGCTGCTCAGTCTTATCAGACATTTTCATTTCTTCCAGCCTGCTTCCCCATACCTTAGTAGATTTATTACTGAGTGTTTATAGTACTGTAGTTGTATTTTGATGATTTTAAGATGGCTGAGGCTGGAAGGAAATGGGATGACATTTCTACTATAATTTGTTCTGCACAAAGCCTGTTCTCTTTAATACCCAAGTCCACTCTCTACTTGTGTAGGTATTGGACCAAATCATGCCAACAGGCATGATCTGCTGATTGCTCAAGAAGCTTTGCTGGTTGACACCAGCTAAGAATTTGGCTCCACAATTTGAGGAAGCGAGAGAAAGAAATGAAAGAAACATGACAGTAAGTGTCAGACTGTATTTTCAGTTACATCAGACCAAGTCTGGAGTAAGTTCATTTAAAGCAAGGATTTTTTTCTTTTTCTGGAGATTTTATTTGGTGTAACAGAAAAGACTTTGTCCTTGAACATTTATGTCTTTCAAAAATCTCAGTCAGGCATAAAGCACTTCTTAGTCAGTCTCTGAGATGTTAATGAAATCCAGAGTAACCCACTGATATGCAAAATACCTCATTTAATGAACTTACACACAGACTCACATATGTGTGTGTGTGTATATATATACATGGTGTAACTGAAAAAAATTTAAGCAAAAGAAAAATCCTCAGGACTAGATACAGTACCCTTTAAGTACAGAGCTGTTTAAAATATCAATCTCTTTATTGTAATTTGATGTGTGAAATTCAGGCGTGCATTTACAATTCAGATCCCATTCCTTAGGGATTCCCATTTAGGGTCTGTTCATATGATTTATTTAGTGCCTTTCTTCACTTACTTATGCTTGAGATCATTAGGTATAATGCACATATATGCACAGGGATAAAATGTTTATCATCATTACTTCAATGAAGTCATTTGCCATCCTTGACACTCTCTAATGTCCCAAGTGCTTCAACCCACTGGCTCATTTGCCCAGCCTTGCTCTCTCTTCACTTTTTCATCTCAAATTCTTAATGTGTTCCCTTCATCAATCATGGATGTTTAGTGGGTACCAGGAGGGAAGGCAGCAAAATAATTATCCAAATATAACAAAAGAAGGTCCCCTTTGTGTTGCAGGAGGGACAGGGACGGGGGAGGGAGAGCAGACGAAGCATGGGTGTATATTTCATGCTTCTTTGAAAACATTAATGATGTTTAGTGGAAGCCAAAGCACCCACTGGAAGCCACTGTGTTATCAAAACTACGTCCCACATCACTTGATCCTGCTCCGCCTCTCTTAGGTTGCCAGCATTTCACCACCACTGATGTTTACAGTCAGGAACCAACTTTGAATGTACTTTTTGGATCTAGTTTTCAAAAGCCAGAATCTGAATGTCACCGTGCCCTGACTACTTTCAGCTTATTGGCCCTTGCATTCGATGGCATCTACGGAGTGAGGCTGAACAAACTGAAGATGAAAGGGTGGGATGGGGTGGGGACAGGGCGAAGTTAGAATGGCCTGGTGTACAGTGTCATACACAGTGGGGGAGAGGCGAGGGTCGTGCAGAGGCTGGGGCATCTCCAGGTGGTTGCGTACAAGGTGACTTTTTCACTTTGAAAGAAGGTTGGTCTTTCATGTTTCTCTGCCTCCCCAGTACAGACACCAAGTGCAAGATTTCTCTGTGACATGAAAACAGGAATATACGAAAAGTCTTGCACAGTCTAATGCTGGGGAGACAGATCC